TCCCTCCCTTTTCCCATCGATTCATCCATCCAGCTATCTCATTTCTCCATCCCACAGATATTAAATTTATAGCTATTATGAATCAGTGACTCTGTGGGTCATAAGAATAAGGAAACTGAGGCACAGAGCAGCTTTGGCACTTGCTCAGGATTATGCCGATGGAGCTGGCATCATCTGACTCTAAGATCAGGGCTCTCACCTTTCACCTTGGCTGCCTATTTGCTAAGTGCCCTTAAAGATAAAAACAGGATCTAGGTTGGGAGGGCTATTGAATAGGGGCCCAGGAACCCCTCTTGCCCAGGGACCACACAGTGTGGGGGAGAGACAGACTCTTTAGAAGCTTCTGTGAACAGAGTCCCTGGTGGCCGTCATGAAAGGGTTATCCCCACACATTCAATATTTGCAAAAATGTGGGTCCTTTCAGATTCCAAAACTCATTTCCATGACAAAACTCTTGGGAAGAGAAGATGAAGGTCTGGCTTTTGCAGAACAATCTTCCAGCTGTAATGAGGACTGAAGATGGCGATGGGAAAAGGAATTATAATTAGAATATGAAATGGGGAAAATTAATCTATTCCAGTCAGTGGTAAGAGGATGTTCTCCTGGCGTTTCGTGGAAATTCTTAGGCTCTTGTTTCCCCTACATTCCCCCCACTCCCTGATTTTAAAGCATACAGAAGGTTGTGTGGTGTGGAAAAAAATAGTTTTGGCTGAGGGACCGATAGATTGTGAAATATGCATGGAATTTAAGTTCTTGCGTATCTTTGCTTTGAGTATGTCTCTATGTGCTCATGCCTTATATGTTTGTGTGCACATTTATGTGAGTTCTATTTATACAGTTGTAGATGAATGTATATTTAAACACATCTGGGCAATGCTTCCTGTCCGTGTGTGCATCTTGCGGGCATTAAGGACCAGTCATGTAAAGGGTCTCGTGCTTGTGCTATGCTCCTTTGTGTTGGTTTGTGTTACCCATGGACATGGTATGTGTGTGACTAAGTGCATTCCTGAATGCTGTGTTGTGTGTGACAGGGATCCCCCACTGGTTTGTGGTGTGTAGGTGGTCACCACGCTTGGGCACACTGTGTCCGTTGTGTACACTTGTGTCCACACACACACACACACACACACACACACACAGCCTTCGCTCTGTGGTGGGTATCGATTTGTGTTCTTGTGCACACAGAGAAGTAGTGGCCTTGCTTTGCTCTTTGACTCCTCCCCTTGGCTTATAAGTTCTTTCCCCAAAAGGGCTGAGGAGGCAAGCCTCAGGCCATAGGGCCCTCGGGGCCAAGCCAGAGGAAGCCTGGGACTCTCAGGATCATCCTCTCTCCTTCCTTCCCTTGCAAGGGGTCTGGCAGAGAGGGGGCAGAGGACAGACTCCCCCCACACCTCAGGTTCATGGCTGCTCAGTAGCCAGGCCCCAAGCCCAGTGTGCTCCCAGTGCACCATGGACCCCTGGGAGGAACCAATCAGAGGCTGACCCGGGCCCTCCTTGGCAACCTCTGCCAACTTCTCAGGTCCCTCTAAAGCAGGAAGAAAGCTTTACTCTGCTTGGGGCAGCTCTTTCTTGGTTGAATAAACGAGTGAATGAATAAACCCAGAGAGGCCAGCTCTGGTGACCTCATGTGGTGCCACTGGCCAACCCTCTTGCATCCCCCAGAAGACACATATGAAAATCCAGGGTTTTCTTTCCTCATATCCCTAGAGCCATCCCCCACTGCTCACTGCAGATAATGCCTCCCTCCCTGAACCACTGACACATACTCATTATGTGCCACCTAGTATGTGCCAGGCCCAGGCTAATGATTGGTTCCCTAGTGGGGTGCAGCAAAGCCTTGATCCCCCCTCTTAAGGAGTTTCCAGCCTAGTGAGGGAGACCAAACCAAAGAAGCAGACAGCCCACTGTGAAGCCCAGCTTGTCACCAAGTGTGCAATTTTGAGGCAGCTGCTAATCCTCCCAGCCTGTTTCCTTGGTTTTAAACAAGGAAAATAATACCTGCTTCACTGGGTTGTTTTGAGGATGAAATAAGATCTTTTATGGAAAGCATTTTGCTCAGTGCCAAGCATATTCATTCATTAACCAAATATTTGTTGAGTGCCTATTGTGTGCATTGGGGAGAGCAGATGGGTTCCTCCTTTTGCCATGATTCCGTTGAAGTAAGCAATTAATAAGTGGGCTGTTCCTTGGGGTTTTGGGGGACAGCTTCCCTTGCTTCTTTGATACATGTTCCTGTAGTTTTAACCTATGCCATACTGTTTGATTACTGTTGCTTTATAAAATGTTTAAGGTATCTGATTAAACTCCAGTCCCCCTCCATTTCTAGTCTTTCTTTTAAGACCTGCTTATAACTTACGTGTGGTTTTTGAAAACGTTCTACTTTTATCAAAGTAACATATGGCCATGGTGACACATCAAAAAGTACTCAGGAGCTTAGTTCTCTTCTGATACCAGCCTGTTCCTGGTGCTGGAGGGTTTGGAGATGACCGGACACAGCACCTCCTTGCTTCTCCCGCTTTGGGGCAGAAGACAGACGTGGAGACCATCTGTGTTTTAAGAAAGACAGCCAGAGGAGGCGAGAGCACGGCAGACCTCCTGGAGGAGGTGGTTTCTGAGCAGGGCCTTGAAGCATGAGCTCTAGGTGCAGTGTGGTGGATGGAGCCCTGCGTTTGGGGCCAATGCCTAGACTCTAGGCACGGTGCAGCCTTTTCTTTTGTTAATCCTGCAGTTACTGAAGGACTCTGCCCATCCCTATGCCAGGAAGATATTCTGGAATAGCCATTAACCCTACTGTTTTCATGGGGACACTGCCCTAGGAAAAGACAATATGAATGGTGCAGTGGTTGCTTCATTCATTCATTCATTCATTCAGTAAGCAATTATTGACTTTCTGCTTTGTGCAAGGCACTACTCTAGGTGGTTAGGAGGCAGAAAGACTAATATAACCTGACCTTCAAGAGCCTCAATTTTAATAGGGGGAATCTACTATAAGCAGTGAACATGGTAAATAAGTAAATGATATAGAATGCTAGAAAGTAAAGGGGCCTATTAACAAATGGAGCAGGGCAAGGGAAGAATAGTGGTGGTGGGCTCGCAGAACCCACTCAGGTAGGAGGCTGGCATCAGAACCAGTTGTTGAGGAAAGCCTCTCTGAGTAACGAGGGTCCAGACGGTCTTGTGCATGATTGCGGGAGGGTAGATTTTTATAGTCTCCACGAAGGTGGTTGGCAATGCCTATCAGAATTACAAATGCATGCACAGTTGGACCCAGCGATTATTCAAACTAATCCTACAGATAAACTCACACCCATGCGAAATGATGGATGTACAAAAATATTCATGAGAGCAATGCTGGAATAGGGAAAGGCTAGAAACAACTCAATTGCCCATGAGCTCACCTAGTTAAATATATCTGTTACATCTATACTATGGAATACTAGGTACCAGAAGACAAAATTATGTTCTGATATAAACAGGTTCTCAAGATGTGTTGCTAGGATAAAAATGAGGTGCAAAACAGTGTGTATAGTATGTTGTCATTTATATGAAAGAAACTGCTATAAAATGTATATATGTGGACCATCTCTGAAAGAATGTAAAGGAAGCTGGTGGACGCAGTGATAGCCTCTGGAGAGGCTGGCTGGGAGGTGGGGTGGGAAGCAGACTTTTCATTCGGTTGTTTTTTGCGCTTTGGGAATTTAGAACCCTGTGAATATAACCTAATAAAAAAATTAAATTTTCAATTAAAATAAAATGGCCAGCTGCCATAGGGGCCCCACCCAGATCCCTTTACTAGCCTGCACAGCGATCTCCCATCTGCTAGAACACTGGCTGCAAATGGCTCACAGCTGGCACAGTTCTCTGGGGAACTGTCCTTGGCCAAATGGGGGCTGCCCTGTTCAGAAGACTGTGACTTCCCCTGTCCCCTAAGAGCAGCCCACAGCCAGTGACTGACTTAACTCCGTGGTGCAATTCATGCCCTGCCGCCCCCGCCCCCTCCCTGGGATCAGGCTCCAGCAGGGCTCCAGCTGAGATCATATCTTTGCTTAGCTACTTCCACTGCCCTGTCCTGCTTACCTCACTCCCTTCCAGAGTTTCCTAAAGAGCACTTCTCAAAAATGACAGGCATTTGAATCCTGGTCTTAGGCTCTAAATTTAGGGAACCTGATCCAAGACACCTGTCTCCATGGAAGAGAACTTATTGGAGATGAGCTAAGTGCTCCACGTTTCGGTGAAGCACCCCATGAAGAAGGGACTACTATCATTATCCTCATTCAACAGATGAGGGACCTCGGATGTTCAGACAGCATCTCCAGATCACGCATCAGGGGAAAAAGCCAGTGGCTCCAGAGCCCACACCTTCCCCATGGCACCTGCTTCCTGCTGCAGGGAGATCTTTCTGAATCCAGAGTTGGCAGCTTCTCAGAACATAGGACTGCAGTTTCCGTGTGTGGTTCTACCACAGTCCTCTGCCTGTGGACACAGGTGGCCTAAGGGACAAATGTGAGGGAAAAAGCTTCTTAGGATAGTAAGACCTGGAGGGCATGTCTGGGGCAAGTGTCATGATCCCTGGGCTCTGAAGATCTTAGCCTCCCTTCATCATGTGGAATTCTAGCTCCAGCTGATAGCCTGATGTCATTTTGACCAAGAGAGACATTTGCATAATTCCAGAGATGGAGAGCTCAGTATCTGACAAGGAGTAGCTGCCTGTGGGCACGGCAGAAAGGTTTTCCTCTCTTCATCCTAACTGTAACGAATGGTGCCAGTCCAAGCCCACAGGGCCCACAGAGGCCACAGGACAGGGGCTGCTCCTGACACCCTAGAGGGAACCCTGCTTAAATGGGATTTGGGCATCTTGGGCCAGAACCTTGCTTCTCCAGGCCCCACAGACAGCTCTTGCCCCTCCTCAGTGTATTCAGTCCCCTGACTGAACTTGGGCTTCTCCTGGGGCCTTCTTAAAAACTTACTCAGACCCGCTTCTCTCTCTTTCTATGTTCCAGTTTGATGGTGACAGTGCCTACGTGGGGATGAGTGACGGGAACCCAGAGCTGCTATCGACCAGCCAGGTGGGTGCTCCATCCTCCTGTGTGGGGGTCTGGCCTGGAGCTGGCTGGAGCTCAGCTGCTCCAGGGTGAGGCTGGGATGGTGCAGAGCAGCGGGGCCTAGCTCACTACTGTCCTCTCTCACAATGATCAAGAATATCAAGTATCCCCTTAAAAGGGACAGTCCAACTGGGACTATAGTATTTTCTATAGATCACTTACCTGGCTCCTGTTGGCTTAAAGTGAGCACCTTTGAAAACTTGGTGAAACTCAAAAGGTGTGGCCCTCATTCCCCGTGCACAGAGGAGAAGTGTTCAGCTGTAGTGAGGAGGACTGTCACGTGCTCCCTGGTGCCATCTGCCTCTTGCCGCCACACAGCACCCGTGGGACTTACAGAGGCACACACGCCCATGCAAAGGCACGCAGACTTCTCCTGCACACCTAGAGCTGTCTGGTGTCACTGGGGAGGATTGCGGGGTGTGGTATGCAGGGAGGATAGCAGAGACTTCCTCGGTAGTCCTCCCTGGTGGTGAAGGAAGTGGAGTCATCCATAGGCAAGGCTGTCCCAGTCCCTAGCCCTCTGGGATTCCCAGATGCCAGCTAGAATCTGAATTTCGACTGTAGGCTGGGGTGCTGGGAAGGGTCCTCAAAGCAGGCTGAGATGCTGGGGAGGGTCCTCACTATAGGCTGGGGTACTGGGGAGGGTCCTCACTGCAGGCTGGGGTGCTGGGGAGGGTCCTCACTGCAGGCTGGGGTAAAGGAGGGTCCTACTGCCGATTGAAATGTTGGGGGGGGTCCTCATTGTAGACTGGGATGCTGGGGAGATCCTCACTGCAGACTGACAACTTGCAGGGTGGTTCCTTAAGGCAGTGGTGCCTACAGAGTGGCAGCAGCTCAAGGGGCAGAGGAACTTGGTGAGCTGGAGGACAAGCCTGTCCCTGGAGCTGACCTCCATCCTCTCTCTGACTGTGCAGCCAGGCTGGCTGTGATGGTCCAAATTGGGCTGCTGGGCCCACATTTTCCAACTGGGGAACTGGAATTCTATTAATTCACAAACATTGGTGTGCCCTCCTATGTGACAGGCCCGGTGGCAGACATGTTGAGTAAGGCGTGGACCTGTGGCCCTTAGGGGCGCACTGCCAGGGAGGGAAGGTACTCTGAGCTCCGCCGTGGGGTGCTGCGTGCCCCTCCCCAGCCACGGCAGGCGTGCTCGTGCTGGGATCGCCATGCCATGCCCCTTCTTTGGCCTGTGACCACATGAGCATTACGGTGCCGCTGCAGAGCCTTTATATGGCACTGACTCGTGCCAGCCTGAAAGACTCTGCTGGGCAAGACTCCAGGTCCTGGAAGTGCTCATTTTGGAAGAGACCACTGAAGTCATTTAATTGTCCATCATCAGCTTGGAAATGTGATTGTCTCAAAAGAGCAGAGCTTTCTCCTGGACATCTCATCAGAGCCCTTTCACAGTGCTTCAGGTGCATCTTGCTAACACGCTGAGCCCTGGCTCTCAGAGCCCTAGCACAGAGGGGTCGTTGTGTTTCAAACCCTGATGGAGAGTGTTGGCACTGTACTCTCGTGAGAATGGAAGGTAGGGCTCCGTGTCTGCCCCAGGCTTGAGCAGGGGAGCACAGTCCCTTGGAGAGGAGCTGGGGGGCAAATGAGGGTCCCAATAAGCTGTTAACAGCAGGGCCCTCACCTGCCCACCTGGCATTTCACGGTGCAAAGCCTTTTCCTTGGTTATTTCACAACAGTCTTGAGAAGTAGTAGGTTGCCATCAGCCCCATTTTATAGATGAGGAAGCTGAGGCTGGAGGATGTTGGCTCATCCTCATCCAGGGAGTGAGACAGCTGGGGCTCAAAGCTCCACACATCACCTCGCTGTGTCTGTGGAATGCTCTGTCATGGTGTGGTGCCTCACCAACTGCAGGAATTTTATGGTCCCAGTCATGGGGGACTGACATAAACATGTGGGCAAAATGAGGGTCTTCTCACCAGTAGCAGATTCAGAGTACACACACTCTAAATGGCATAAAATGTGTTTTATAAATACAACTAACTAGAAGGTCCACCCATCCAGCAAGGTTTTATTGGGCACCTATTATGTGCAAAGCTCTGGATATAAGCAGGAAGCCATTTCTGGGAGACGTTTGCTTTCTGAACATACAATTTCATCGTATTAAAAACCTGCTCTTTAATGTAACCTTCTCCTGAAACACCATCTTCTTTATTTAGAAACTTGATTGGAAACACAGGTTCCTATGGGGTATATATCAACCAGCTGTGCCCCCTGTTCAAAACTTTCAAACCAGCTCTTAGGTGCTTGAAGTTTCTTTTGCAAATGCATCCTTTGTTGTTTGGTTTTTGCAAGTTTCCACAAAATTCCTGCCTGGCTGCCTTAGCTGTCATACAGTATCCCTTTCCCCCTCTCTGGACACTGTGTTTCTTTTGCACCAGACCTGCCCGCGTGGTCTGAGGCTGAAATGCACTTCTCAGGCATGGCTTGTGGTTCATCAGCAGCTTCGGGGGGGGGTGCTGGGGCCGGGGGGGGGGGGGGGGGGGAGAGGCTGGTAGAGATCAGCTTTTCCCCCTGTTGAGAGCAGACCCTGGCCAGGAGTTACAAGGATGATATTTCCTGGTTATGTGATGCTGGGATGAGGGTGAAGAGGATAATAACTGGGCTGTGGGCTCAGCAGACCTAGATTCAAATCCAGCTCTTGGACATCCCAGCCAGATGCCCGCTCTAACCCTATGCAAGCTGTGTCAGCTTTCTGTCAAATGGGAGAAATAACTTCTGCCTCTCAGGGTGTTATAAGTACTGGAGGTGAGTGTTGTGGATTCCCGTCACCAGGCCAGGGAACCCCTCACCCAGCTGATGTGAGTGCCGGCTGCTAACCATTCACGGCTGCCCCTTCTCTGGAGACCTGGCCTTTGCCAGATGGGAACTGTCAATGGGGAGGGGTGTGGGGGATGGTCTAGAAGACCAGGAAGGTCCTCTTCTCAAGCAGGGAGCAATTCTACAGCTCCCTACAGAGCTCCAGCTGGCATAGCCGCCTTGCCTAGCCCGTTTCCCTGCTCTGTCCTGCTTTCCTCCCATCTCTTCTGAGTCACTTCTCAAAAGGAATGCCAGTGTCATAGGAATCCCCATCTCAGGCTCTACTTCAGGGGAATCTAACCTAAACTACCAGTGTTCCATAAAACTAGCTGGGACTTATTTCCATGTTTTTCTTAACATAAATAATGCTTTGGTTACATAGATGAATCTCTGGTCACTTCTCATGCTCATTTATAGCTCTGTGCCTCTTATATATATATATATATATATATATATATATGTATATATGGCATTTTTTTTTTACAAATAGTTTATTGTCAAGTTGGTTTCCATATAACACCCAGTGCTCATCCCCACAAGCCTCTTTATGCACAGATTCTGATAGGAATCCCCCAGGCATTTTCACCCAACAAATGTCTATTTGTTCTTCGAGGGGCGCTGCAAATGTCACCCCCTCAGTCCACCCTTCCTGGCTGTAGGTAGAATTTTCCATTGTTATGGCTATAAATATGACTTTTAAAAAAATAGTTTATTGTCAAGTTGGTTTCCATATAACACCCAGTGCTCATCCCCACAAGTGCCCTCCTCCATGCCTATCTCCCCCCTCCCCCCAACACCCATCAGTCCTCAGTTTGTTCTCAGTATTCAAGAGTCTTTCATGGTTTGCCTCTCTCCCTCTCCCCCACTATTTCCCCCCTTCTTCTCCCCCACGGTCCTCCATTGAGTTTATAAATATGACTTCTGCTGAAGATTTCTGACTTTGTGCTAAGAATTATTGAAAGGACACGTGGTGTGTGTGTGTGTGTGTGTGTGTGTGTGTGAGAGAGAGAGAGAGAGAGAGAGAGAGAGAGAGAGAAGGAAGAAGGAGAAAGAGAATTGGCACATGACTACATTCATCACATTCTGTTAGTCAAAGTAAGTCAGTGGGCTTTGTTAGTGAGAAAGGGAGAGATTGAGATTGGATGAATGATCATAGTGCAGTTTAAACAGCTCTCAAGGGCAAGAGTGGATACAGAGAGACCACGTGGGAGGGTAAGTGAAGGCTGGTGTTGTCCTCTAAGGTGGTAGAAGCAGAGGAGATGGAAATAAGTGGATGGATCTGGGATCTGTTTTGGAAATAAAGTTGGTACGTCTTGACAGTGGATGGATGTAGAGGGAGAGAGAAATGAAGGAGTAAAGGGTGTCTCCCAGGCTTCTAGCACAGCACATTTTCCAGCATGCTGGTATCATTTTTGTGAGTGTGAGAAGGCCTGGGGAGGTGCAGGTTTGACAGGGTCAGACACATTACTCTTGAGACACTCATCCAGGGGAGATGTCTGAGTATGTAGACGGTTGTGCAAGTCTGGAACTTCTGGGGGAAATGAACTTGGACGTTCTTAGCCCATGGTGAGGATGACATTTGCAAAGACATAAAGAAACGAGTGAGAACCACAGAGAAGAGCAGAGAACCAATGAGTCTTAAATGTTGAGCTCCAGTATTTGAAAGCAAAGTGGAGGAAGAGAAGACTGTGAAATAGGTTGAGAAGTAGGGACTAGAGAAATAGGAGAGCATGGAGGCTTTGAAGCCAAGGGCAGAGTGTTCTGAGATGGAGGTCAGGGATCTGGGGAAAAACGATGTTGGATCCACAGCTTCTTCCCTGTCAAAGGATAACTTTTAAATAAGTCAAAGATTTATAGGTACTCACAGAAACCATGAAGGCACCAGAAGAAAAGCCTTTAAGGTATACATTATAGCTTTGGAGTCAGAAGGGCATTTCTAGATTCAAAGTCTTAGAAGAAAAGACTTAAAAATTTGACCACAAACAAAAATGAAAAACAACCTTTGTATGGCTAAAACAGCATAAATAAAGTCAAAAGACAAGTGAAAAATTGGGCAAAAGTATTTTCAACTCACAATATAAATATATAAAGAGTTTCCAGAAATCAATTCAAAACCCTGGTAGAAAAACAGATGGGAGATATGAACCAATAGT